ATATATATATATCATTATAAGTGACAAATTCGTAATCATGACATCGATTATATTGCTTCAGCACTACTCGGAAGTTGTGAGATGGACTAGCCTGTCTATCGCCTATTTTGATTACTTGGATTTTGCCCTATATTGTTTACTATATTGATGTTAAGATGTCCCATTTTGTAAATCAAATTGCCTTTTAAGTTTAACCACCACATATTATTTCCATAAATAAATTTACCCACACTTTTCATTACTTAAGGATTTAGATTTTTATATTCTTGCAGAAGAACAATAATAAATAGTATTTATAAAAACTAGATTTTTATAAATCTTTAAATAGATGCATGTTATAGTATCTTTTATTATATTAGAAGGGGCAAGTGGAAGATATCCGTAAGTTTGTCTCACAGAAAGCTGTAAGGGGATTGCCCTGGAGCTGATATTGCAGATTTGTGCGAATAGATCCTTGGCGTATCGCCCTACTGCCCCGATGAATCCTTGCTGATCTTTTATCCGCCATATGATGGATATCGTCAGAGCAGGACACTATGCTTAACGATAATTCACCAAAACACGAAGGCAGGAAAGGTGGCCGGCTTCAAACTTACCTACATCTTATGATCAAATTTGGTTCACTTACTTAGGCATCTCATGTTTCGTTTAAATATCCTATTCCCTGCCTAAATATTTGTTCAAAAGTTAAGTCAAATGTCTGCAGATGGCATGTGAAGTGGCTATAAATGAAGCGTACAATTACGACCGAACAGTTGCATTCTCCTTTAAAACATGTATACCTTTGATTATGTAATGTTACTGAGTGTTGCGTGAGTATATTACTGTGGAAATAAGTGTGATGTTAGAGTAAAAATCTTATTCGAGCCTGATCAAGCCTCCTCTTGCTGGGTGGAACTTCTCGTCACCCCTTCCTCTCTCTCTAGTCCTATCCAACAGCCACAAGTAGTTTCTAGTTAACTTACTATACTTATTCCCTCTATGCAGGTTGTTAGCAGTTTTGCTGATTTTTATCGCTACCCTAATATTTCGCTTACTGTTATAGTCCCATATATAGTTAAATGTTTGGCTATAGACCTGTCTATCTGGTGTCTTGTGCGAGGCATGTGTTCGGAGATTTCCTAATTTTTGACCCACAAATCCTTGCATGCTGTTTTTTCAGATAACCTCTTACCTATGGGCCTACTGGTCTCTCCCACATATGGGATACCACATGAAACATGAATATTTTCATCAAGCAATTTTTATTACTTCATATCAGTGTGCTTTTACATTTTATATATTACTGGGGAACTGACAAATACAGTTTCATTTTTTAAGCAATAATGAGGAGCATTGAGGATCATGTTTCCTTTCTTAAACTTACAGCAAATTCGGGACTACTCAAAAAATAAAATCAATTTTAAATATTCATATTATTATTGTTTTGGCATATTAATTTGGTTCAAGCTTATTGTCTAATTGTTAAAATATTTTTTTATTAACTAAGGTTCTGGACATAGTTCCGGTCTCTAACTCCACAAGTAACAATTATAAAATGTACGGAGCCGACAAGGGTCTTGTTCGCATCGCTTGGGCCTTTCTCAGGCCTTTGGGCGCAAACGGGCATCAGAATACAGGGCCGCAGAAGCAACGTCTTCAATTGCTTGAAGTTGTCTCACCAAATCACATTTCAACTAGCCTGAATCAAAATGCATTATCGTTTCCCCAGGAAAAACTACTCCTTCCAACTTTTGACAAGGCACACGATGGACATGGCCGAGCGGGAAAGTTAATCTCAATAGATGCACCCTCTCTGGTATTAGACCATGCTGGTTTGGCGGCCAACAGTATAGAAGCGGGTGGCCAATTGATGGCCTGGTGGGCATCTGGATCCAGCTTTAGGACTCTTTACCCTTCTACAATTTATGTCACCGTAAAACCAGTAGGCATGCCAAAGGCAGACCTGATGCCAAGCAATATAAGCTCTTTTATTCCAAATCACAAGGTAAATAGGTCTCTCTCATGTAAAAATATCTTTTTACTTGTATAGTCATAAGAATGACTATGAGTTTATGTGTCTTTGAGAACCATTTTTGGGATAATGAATTGATAAAATGTCATGGGATATTTGGTTAAGTAGTTTAAATATGCTGATAGTAACTATTATCCACTAATCGTAAACTCTGGCCATGCATAGAAAATATGCTAAAGGAGGAGTATAAAAAGAGCCAGTTCTAGTTAGTTGCAGACAATTCTTAGGCGAATCAGAATTAGTATCATCATGTATATTGAGAAAAACTGGTCGGTGATAAAGGGTGAATTCTATGAATTACACCACACTGAAAAGTGGGTCTTCTTCTAGATAAGATAAAAGTACCATTAAGATAGCAGGCTAGAACCACTAAGGTAAAGCTTAATAAAATATTAAATCGATAAGTCGCATGACGTCTCGATGCTGGAAATTAAGAAGATAACGGAATTTTAAGCATAATACCTCTAATATTCATATAATTAACAATTATGCTTTTGAGACTATCAGTAGATTTTGAGTAAGAACTTTAGTCACCCTAAATCGCTTGAGGTGGGAAAAGTCGGAAAAGGAATCTTTCCACAATGACTTGATTAAGCCTCATGGTGCCATTTGTTTTAACCACTGAATTTTTGATGAAAGTCTTTGAAACCTACTCGTTATGAATACCAGTACTGTTAGCCAAGATTGTTTGCCCAGTATATAATGTGTAGACTATTGGATGATATACCAGCAATTCCAACAGATTAGGACACGAAGTTTATGATGCAGATCACGATCACACAGACGATTAGAACCTGAAGACATATGCCTTTGGGCATATTATGCAGTCCGATACTATCCCAGCTCTTCCAGTCCGATGATGCATTATAGCTTAACTCCTTTCTGACGAAATTTCTATCTGAGACGCCATTAACTAATCGCTTTCCTTAAACAAATTTGGGAGAATCGCTAGTTATAGTCCATTATCTGAGTACAAGCGCATTATAAAATAGCCTAATTTATTGCTCAACGAACAACTTCTTTTTTAATCACAATTTGCTTAATATATGCGAAGAAAAGTTGGGTTTCGTGGAATATCTTGTTTCATAATTGTCTAGCTTACTTCAATTTGGGGTGAAAGTGTTTGGTGAAGAGCCAAGCCAATCGACAGCTGGTCAAGAGGAATCCACCGTCGTCTTCTGATAAAATCAAACTTCGAATATCTTCACCAAATACTTTTACTCGAAATGGAAGTAAGCTCAACAATTTGCTCAAGTCTATGAATGTAAAATCCGGCAAAAACAGTAATCACTGAAGCATTATCCCTAATATTGATATCTGAAGAAACCTGTATACATTTTTACGCGACCACTTTACGATTGAGTGTCAGGAGATAGTGATTTATTTGTCCACTGGCTCAGAAAATTTATTATCCAGTATTCAAGAGTAGATAATCGAATTAAGATAACTGGTAATTGGGTCATACTCAAAGTAAAAGACCGATCATGCATAAAGCACATCAATGTCCTTTATTTAATTTATAAAGATCTGTATGACTGTGGCGAACTTTTTTATGTTATATCTTTTCCACTGCTCTTAATGTATATTGTTGGTCGTTAAAGATGCCAAGGTTGTCCGATGAAAGAAAAAAAGATGTAAACCAACGTTGAGAAAACGCTGGTAATAAGATATGAGGAAAATTTGGGTTACAAAGAATTACTTAGTGATATATTGTGACACGACTTTCCATTTCGAGGCAAAGTTGGTTGGAAGTAATTCGTGATGTGGTCTCACCGGAAACCGAAGGAGGATTCATGTTTGAGTACCTTTCACTTCGTTTGAAGAGGCTAGTGGAAGGAATTCGTAAGTTGGCTTCACCGGAGGCTGAGGGGGGGTTGCCTTGGAGCTGTGGTTGTAGATTTGTGTGAATAGGTCCTCGGCGCACCGCCCTACGACCCCGATAAATCCTTGCTGAGCTTTCGCCCGTCATGTAACGGACATCGTCAGAGCAGGAGCCCATGCTCAA